TGCTGGGGTGGCAAGGCGCAGCAGCAGCAGCAGCCGCTGCTTCGGCAGGGTTCGTAGCTGCTGCTGCTGCTGCAGCAACAGCAGCTCCCTAATCGCCTGCAGCACAGCAGCGGGAAGCTGCGCTCCCTCCAGTTCCTCATCTTCCGCTTCTGCTGCTGCTGCTGCTGCTGCTGCATGTTGGCGCTCGACAGCAGCAGCAACAGCAGCAGCTAGAGGCTCCGCCAATTCGCTGCTCAGCAGAGCAGCAAGCTTCTGCTGCGCTGATTCCACTTCACTCGCAGCTAGCAGCTGCAGCTGCTGCCAGGTCAGCTGCAGCAGTACGTATTCCTGCGCATCTGCTGCTTCAGTTGCTGCTGCAGTTGCTGCTGCAGCTGCTGCAGATGCTGGAGCTGCTGCAGCAGCATCTGAGGCCTGCAGAGCAGCAGCGCGAGCTTGTGCTCTTGTGCGTGGCATCGTCCTGCTGCTGCTGCTGCTGCTGCTGGCATCGCTGCTGCTGCCATCGCTGCTGCTGCTGGAGAGGATGCGCAGCAGCAAACCGCTGGCTAGAGGCAGCAGCAGCTTCAGCAGAGTTGCGGAGTCCCACAGGCGCTGCAGCGGGGCGACGACGAGCTGCTGCTGCCTTGGCAGCAGCAGCAGCAGCAGCACATAGTACGCTGCTGCGCTGGAAGAAAGCTGCTGCTGCTGCTGCTGCTGCAGCTGCTGCAGTGGCTTCACGGGAAGCAACGGTGACGCCAGCACTTCAGCAGCAAAGGCAGCGAAGTTGGAGTTCGCATGCAGCAGCAGCTGTACACACAAGCACAAGCAGCAGCAGCGTAGGTGAAGGGCTGCAGCAGCAGCAGCAGATAGATTTTACAGTGCTGCTGCTGCTGTTGCTGCTGCTGCTTCTGCTGCTTACCTGCTGCGCTTCATCGCTGTTGCTGCAGTCGCGCCACTCCGCAGAAACCAGGCCCAGCGGCAGCAGCAGCTGCAGGATTTCCTGCGCTGCTGTTGCTGCGGGTTTGCTTTTGCTGCTGCTGCTGCTGCTGCTGCTGCTGCTTTGGCCGCTGCTGCTGCGGTGAGCAGCAGCAAGTCTGTTCAGCCGCTTGAGCAGCGCTGCTGCAGCAAAACGAACAGACTCGACGGAAGACCCCAGCAGCGCCACACAGCTAGCAGCAAGAAGTGCAGCCACTTCTGCTGCTGCTGCTGCTGCTGCAGATGGGGGGGGCAGCAGCGGAGCTGCTGCTGCGGGAGCTGCTGCTGCAGGAGAAGCAATCAGCTCCAGCTGCAACTGCAGCGCAGCAACGCATGCATCGAGCAGCACTGCGGGCTGCTGCAGCGGCACGGCAGCATCCAAAAATGAAGACTGCTGCTGCTGCTGCTGCTGCTGCTGCTGCTGCGGTCTCTCCTCTTGCTTCTCGACCTCTTCAGCTTCTTCTGCCAACTGTCCGCTGCTTGCCCGGCCCTGCTGCTGCTGCTGCTGCTGCTGGCTGCTCGCAATGCGCTTATGCGCCGCTGCTGCTGCTGCAGCAAGAAACGACAGCAGCAGCAGCGGCTGCTGCCCCAGGCAAGAGGTCACGAGAGCCAATGGCTGCGCGAATGCCTCAGCATCCGCTAGGCCCAGCAGCAGCAAGCCAAGTATGGCTGCCGCCTGCTGCTGCTGCTGCTGCTGCTGGTGTTGCTGCTGCTGCTGCTGCAGCATTCCTGCCAGCTGCGACGCGTCGCCTGGCAAAAGCGCAGAACCTAGGAAGCTGCAGAAGGAAGCAACTGCAGCACGGGCTAGAGCACCTAAGCACTGCTGCTGCTGCCGCTGCTGCTGCAGCAGCAGCTGCTGCTGCTGCTGCTCCGCCACAAGAATGGCCTCGTATGTCCGACCTGCCTGCAGCACCAGCTGCTGCGCAGGGACCCCTGGGGGAAGCAGGGCGTTGTGCGCTGCAGCGGCAGCTGCTGCTGCGTCTGCTGCTGCTGCTGCTGGTGCCTTGCCAGACACCGTCGCCACTGCTGCTGCTCCTGCTGCTGCTGCAGCAGCAGGATGGCGGGAGCTGCTCTCAACAAACTCCAGCAGCGCAGCAGACAAGAGCCAGTGCAGACCAACAGCTGTCCCTGCTGCAGCACCCGCTGCTCCTGCTTCTGCTGCTGCTTCACCTGCTGCTGCTGCTGGCAACTGCAACGCAGCACTAGACGGTCCGCAGAGGGCGAGCCAAGCCAGCCGGGTGTAGAGTTGCCTGCAGCAGCAGCAGCAGCAGCAGCAGCAGCAGCAGTAATAGCTACCGTAATCCCCTCTATCTAGTGCAGCAAACAGCTGCAGTAGCGACAGCAGGCGCGCGGCTATGTACGCAGCAGCAGCAGCAGCAGCAGCGAGAGCAGCAGCAAAAGCGGCAGCAGCAGCAGCAGCGCCGACAGCAGTAGCAGCAGCAGCGGTCACAATAGCAGCACCGACAGCAGCAGCAAAACGCACGGGGAATCCTTTTCGCTTTGTGCTGCTGCTTCCTCTGGAAGCAAAATCGCAGCTGCTTCCTGCAGCAGCGCCGTGGTAGCAGCACTCGGGGCTGCTGCTGCTGCTGCTGTTGCTGCCGCAGCAGCAACAGCTACGCCTTCCTGCTGCACCGCAGCAGCAGCATGCAAGGCGATCGCAAACGGAAGAACATCACGGGCGTGCTGCTGCAGCAGCAATGCTTGCTGCTGCTGCTGCTGCGGCTGCTGCTGCTCTTCTGTGGCTTCATCCAACTCGTCCTCCTCGGCATCAGCAGTCACAGTAGCTGCTGCTGCTGCTTCGCGCCCCTCCTGCAGCAAAGCCGTGCACTGCTGCAGCAGCAGCAGCCAGAGCTGCTGCTGCTGCGGTCTCTCCAGAAGCAGCAGCGCCAGGTGCTGCGCAATAGAGTTCGTCTGAGCTGCTGCTGCTGCTGATGCGTGCGGCTGCAGCTGCAGCTGCTGCTGCAGCTGCTGCAGCTTGTCCGCCACAGCAGCTAGTCGCTCCTCCCACGAAAGCGCCTGCTGCAGCAGCGGCAGCGCCTTCACCGCCTGCACGCAGCAGCAGCAGCAGCAGCAGCAGCAGCAAAAGGTGACTGTGCACAGCAGCAGCGCCTCCACAACTCCAGAGCAGCAGCAGCAGCCGCAGCAATAGGCGCAACAGCAGTAGCTGAAACGCAAGCAGCAGCAACAGCTACTGCAGCAGCACCAGCAGCAGCAGCAGTGGCAGCAGCAGCAGCAGCAGCAGCAGCACGCACTTCAGTCGAAACTTCTATATCATCATCCGCTATTCGCTGCAGCAACAAAAAGGCCAAAAGGCGGGGCCGGCTGTCTGCTGCTGCTTCACCGGAGTCGGTCTCTTGCTGCTGCTGCTGCTGCTGCTGCTGCTGCTGCAGCACTGCATTAGCAGCACGGACTGCATGAAGCCTCAGTGCCGCATCGGCAGCACTCAACGCGAATAATAAAGAAATTCTGCTGCTGCTGCTGCTGCCAGCAGCAGCAGCAGCAGCAGGTTTCACCTTCAGTGGCACTGCAACAGAAGCGAAGCCTTTGAATGCCGCAGACAGAAACAGCTGCAGCGCCTCGTGCTGCTGCTGCTGCTGCTGCTGAGCTGCTATGGTGAGTGCAGCAGGAAGCGCCAGCGGGTTGGCTGCGTCGAGCCGCTGCAGCAGCTGCTGCAGCAGCAACAAGAAGCCGCGGGGCACATCTGACTGTTTGCTGCTGCTGCTGCTGCTGCCGCTGCTGCCGCTGCTGCTGCTGCAACTGCCTTCGCAGCTTCTAGGGCTGCTGCTGCTGGCAGAAGTCTCGCCGTCACTGCTGTCGCAGCAGCTGCTGCTGCTGCTGCGTTTGCTGCTGCCAGCAGCAGCAGCTGGAGCCCCACAGAAAGCGTCAATTATAGCCAAAGAGATACAAACAGCATGGGGAGCTGCTCTCGCCCGCTGCTGCTGCTGCTGCCGCTGCTGCTGCTGCTGCTGCTGCTGCTTCAGCGCACACATCCTCACCAGCAGCCGCAGTAACTGCTCGCCGAAAGGGCTTAGCCCTTCCTGCTGCTGCTGCTGCTGCTGCTGCTGCTGCTGCTGCTGTGTCTCTGCGAGCAGCTGCCGCAGCGCTGACCGGAAGAGGAGCCCCAGGAAGGCGCAGGCGTCAGTACACCCCATTGACAACACCTGCAGCAGCAGCAGCAGCAGCAGCAGCAGCAGCAGCAAATGAAGGAGCAGCAGCAGGAGCAACAGGAGCAGCAAATACAGCAGCAGCAAGAACAGTGCCAGCTGCAGCGGATCGACAGCAGGCACGCAGAAGCGGCAGGAGAAAACGAAGGAGCAGCAACTGCAGCAGCAGCAGCGACGGCAGCAGCAGCAGCAGCAGCAGCAGCAGCAGCGACAGCGACAGCCCACCTCCTGCACTGCTTGGGGAAACTTTTCCAATCTGGTGAGGAGCAGCAGCTGTTCCCTCTGCAGCAGCAGCAGTTGCTGCTGCTGCTGCTGCGCGATAAGCTGCAGCACCTCCACGGCCTGAACTGTCTGCGGCAGCAGCAGGTGCTGCTGCTGTTTCTGCTGCAGCACCAGCAGCGGCTGCAGCAGGCAGCTAATGATGCGCAGCAGCGCCTGCTGCTGCAGCGGCGTCTTCTTCACTAAGCGGCAGAGCAGCAGCAGCATGTGCTGCTGCACCTCCGGGTAAACTGCAGCAGCAGCAGCAGGGCCCCGCACAGCAGCAAAGACTGTCTGCAGCAGCGGGGGGGCTAGGCGCCGCAGCTGCTGCCCTGCTGCTGCAGCAACAGCAGCAGACCCCACAGAGGAGAACAGCCGCAGCAGCGGCAAGTGCAGCAGCCGCCCATCAACAGCAGCAGCAGCAGCAGCAAGGTCGGGAGGCACGGATATCCCGCAGCGCAGCAGCTGCTGCTCCAGCGGCTGCAGCGCAGCAGCAGCAGCAGCAGCAACAGCTTCCCAAGCACCTCGCTGCTGCAGCATCACGCGCTGCAGCTGCTGCTTCGAGACTGGGCTGCCCAGGTCTTGGTGCTGCCGCTGCTGCTGCTGCAGCGGCAGCCACGGGGAGTTGTGCTGCAGCTGCAGCAGCAGCAGCAAACGGCTGAACAGCAGCGTCTCATAGAACGGCAGCGCCAGCAGCAGCAGCGCCTCAGGGTCCCTCTCGTGCAGCTGCTGCTGCTGCAGCAGCAACTCAATGCAGCAGTGAGCCTCCTGCTGCAGGAAGAATGGGGAGAGAAGAGAGCACAAGACGCGCAGCTGCTGCAGCTGCTGCTGCTCGCGCTGCAGGTCCTGTTGCTGCTGCTGCTGCAGCAGCTGCTGCTCAGGCGAAAAGAAGCAAGCGAACAGCTGCAGCAGGGGCTGCTGCTGCTGCAGCACCTCCAGTCCTGCTGCTGCTGCTTGCTGCACTGTGTAGCGGTCCAGCAGCGCTGCATCCCTGGGATCGTACATAAACGACACGATCCCACGCTTGCTTTTGCTGCTGCTGCTGCTGCTGCTGCTGCTGCTGCTGCGCTGCAGCTGCACCTGCCGCTCGAGCTCAGACACCATTTTCGCTGCTGCTTGTTCTGCTGCTGCTGCTGCTCAGTCCCTTCCAGCTGCCCCTGCAGCTGCTGCAGTCTGCCTCCTCCTAGCAGCAGCAGCTGGAGGTTTCTAGCTGCTGCCGGCGCTGCTGCTGCTGCAGCTAGAGCTGCTGCTGCTGCTGCTACTGCAGCTACTGCCGCAGCTAGTGCTGCTCCTGCTGCTGCTAGTGCTATGCTGCAGATGCTGCTGCTGCTGAGGCCGATAATGCAGAACTTATTAGTAGGCCGCTCTTGCAGCAGCAGCAACAGCAGCAGCAGCAACAGCAGCCGACGTCGGGGGCCCCAGCCTTCCAGTGTTGCTGCAGCAGCAGATCTGCTGCTGCTGCTGCTGCTGCTCGTTTTAGCAGCTGCAGCGGGCCGAAGACAAAGACCACTAAAGAGGATTTTTGCTGCTCGAACGGAAGTAACAGCAGCAGCAACGGTGTTGCTGTTGCTGCTGCTGCTGCTGTGGGGCAGCAGCGGAAGGCCCCTGTGGGGCGGAGGGGCCCAAACCCTAAACCCTAAACCCTAAACCCTAAACCCTCGGACACAATTTTGCATTAAAATATTGAAAATAGAGCCGTAGACGCATGTTTCAGTGGCAGCACTCTAAACCCTAAACCCTAAACCCTAAACCCTAAACCCCAAACCCTTCTCGTCGATTCATCGAGGCTTGCCTTCTGCAACTCTTGACTTTTATTCGGCCAACAGGCGTTGGCCTTAATTGAATGTTTCAGGGTTTAGGGTTTAGGGTTTAGGATTACGGGTGTAAGGGCAAGGGTTTAGGGTTTAGGGTTTAGGGTTTAGGCTGAAACTTGAGAGACCTTGAGGGTCTTAGTCTTTAAGACTAGTTTTGCTGCTGCCCTTCGCTGAGCTGCTTCTGGCGTTTCTGGCGAGGCAGCAGCTGCTGCTGCTCCTGTTGCTGCTGCAGCTGCTCCTCCTGCTGCTGCTGCTGCTGCTCCCTTTGCTGCTGCAGCAGCACCTGAATGCTGCTAGTCCCTGCTGCGAGACACAGTGTGGGGTCGCCGCAGCTGCAACGGCCAACATTGCTGCAGTTGCTGCTGTTATTGCTGCTGCTGCTTCTCTGCTGCTATTGTGCTGCTGCTGCTGCTGCTGCAGTTGCTGCTTATCCATCTGCCTCTGCTGTGCTATTGTCTATACACCTGAGGGTATGCTTAGCTGCCTAAAGCCCGCAGTCACTTGCGGCCGCTGCTGCTGCTCTTGCTGCTGCTGCAGCAACAGCAGCAAAAGCAGCCGCTGCAGCAGCAGCAGCAGCAAGCTGCGGGTTTCACTGCTCCTGAACTCCCAGGCAGCCACCGAACGCCTCATCATGCTGTTGCTGCAGCAGCTGCTGCTGCTACTGCTGCAGAATCAGTTACTGCAGCAGCAGCAGGAACGACACGGCGCTGGAAAAGCGGCAGCAGCAACAGCAGCAGCAGCAGCGGCAGCAGCAGCACCAACTGCAGCAGCAGCACCCAAAGCAAAAGCAGCAGCTCTATCAAAAGCCGCAGTAGAAACATCAACTAGACTGTACCGGCATCAGCAGCTGCTGCTGCTGCTGCTGTGTTGACAACAAATCAAAAAGACCCGCAGCAGCAGCAGCAGCAGCACCTGCTGCTGCTGCTGGTGCTGCTGCTTCTGCTGCATTGTCTGACATCGCAGTGAATTCAAAGACCAGCAAATGAGCCAAGAGAAATATCGTTAAGACACGTTTGCTGTTGCTGCTGCAGCAAACTCTGTTGCTGCTGGCGACAGCTGCTGCTAAGCCTCAGCAGCAGCAGCAGCAGCTGCTGCTGCTGCTGCTGAAGGCTAAAATGCAGAGGAAAGGAAACAGCAGCAGCAGCAGCTGCTGCTGACAGTCAAGCCTCCACCTCAGTGCAACTAACTCGAGTAGCAAATATGCAGCTCATGCTGCTGCTGCTGCTGCTGCTGCTCCTGCTGCTGCTCCAGCTGCGGCTGCTGCAGCAACAGCAGCACCTGCTGCTGCTCCAGCGCTCCTCTACTCGGTCTTGTGCTTCTTCGATGGCCAAGAGCCCTCATACGTGACCTGCAGCAGCAGCAAAAGCAGCAGCAGCAGCAGCAGCAGCAGCCAATGAGCAAAAACAGCTGAGGAAACTATGGCAAGGAAAACAGCAGCACCTGCTGCATACAAAACAGCAAAAGCGCAGCAAACATAGCAGCAGCAGCAGCCCTGCAGCAGCAGCAGCAGCAGCAACAGCAGCAGCAGCAGCAACAACGGCAGAGACTTTACCTCGTCGTCGCTGCTACGACTCCTGCGTGTTGATTTTCTATTGCTGCAGCAAACACAGAAGCAGCAGCAGCAGCAGCAAGCAGCAGCAAGCATGCAGCAACAGACCCGCATGCAATGCCCGCTATGATAGCAACAGCAGCAGCAGCAGCAACACTAGCAGCAGCTGCGGCAGCAGCTGCAGCGCAGCACCAACAGGTGCAGCTGTTGCTGTAGGCACTAGCCGACGTTGCAGCAGCAGCAGCAGCAGCAGCAGCAGCAACCGCAGCAGCAGCAACCGAAGCGGGCCCCTACTCGTCGGAGTCCGAGTCATCGCTGCTGCTGCTGCTGCTGCTGCTGCTACTGCTGCTGCTGCTGCTGCTGCTTGATCTCCTCTTTCTTTTCTTCGAAGTTTTCTTCTTTTTATCTTTTTTATGTTTTCTTTTTTTCTTGTCTTTTGACTTCTTGCTGCTCCTGAAACGCCCAAACCCCACACTTGCTGCAGCAGATGCTGCTGCACTTGCTGCTGCTGCACTTGCTGCTGCTGCGCTTGCTGCTGCTGCACTTGCTGCTGCACTTGCTGCTGCAGTTACGCAGCAGCACCGGAAATGCAAAAGCCGCTACTCTCAACGCCGTCTAAACCCTAAACTTTAAACCCCAGACCCTAAACCCCAAACCCTAAACCCTAAACCCCAAACCCTAAACCCTAAACCCTAAACCCCACGGACTTTTGCTTCTTTTTGCTTTGCCGCGGCGGCGACTGCGCAGCAGCAGCAAGGTCTGCTGCTGGGGGCGTGTGGTCAGCAGCAGCAGCAGCAGCAGCAACTGGGTCATCACCCCACAGGCCTCTGGAGGGAGGGCTTTCCTCCAGTTTGTGTCGCATGCGGTTCAGCCGCTCCCCTGCAGCAGCAGCAGCAGCAGCAGCAGCAGCAGCAGCAGGGCAATGGGAGCAGCAGCAGCAGCGACGGCGGGAGGAACGGCAGCAAAAGCCGCAGCAGCTGCGCCGCCAGCAGCAGAAACCCAAGCAGCAGCACCGGCAGCGCCGCAGCAGCAGCAACACAGCAGCAGCAGCACAGCAGCAGCAGCAGCAGCAGCAGCAGCAGCAGCAGCAGCAAACCTATGAAGGAGTCATAAATCTTGGCCAAAGTCGCCCCCTCTCCTTGCTGCTGCTGAATCTGCTGCTGGATTTCCATGGCCCTTCTTTTGTGGATGTCGTTGTGGGCCTTGCAGTACATCTTCAGCTGTACATACACCCAAACGCACGCGCCTGCTGCTGCTGCGCTGCTGCTGCTGCTGCGCTGCTGCTGCTGCTGCGCTGCTGCTGCGCTGCTGCTGCTCTGGTGCTGCTGTTGTGCTGCGTCTGCGGTGCTGCTGTTGCTGTTGCGCTGCTGCTGCTGCTGTGCTGAGGTCGTGCTGCTGCTGTCGCCACAGAGTGCCTCTCTGCCGCGGTTCTGCTGCTGCTGCTGCTGCTGCTGCCGCATCTGCTGCTGCAGTTGCTGCTGCTGCTGTCAAAACCTACCGTGCAGTACGGGCAGCTGACGGTGCTGTTTTTATCTCTTCGCCTCATTTTCGCTGCTGCTGCTGTCGCTGCTGCTGCTGCTGCCGCACTCGCTACTGCTGCTGCAACTGTTCCTGCTGCTGCTGCGCTCCCCACCGCAGCTGCTGCTGCTGCTGCTGCTGCTGTTGATGCTGCTCTTCATGCAGCAGAAACGCCAACTCGCTGTGTAAAGCAGCTTTACGATCCCCCTGTTGCTGCTGCTGCGGCGGCGGCCGTTGCTGCTGCTGCTGTGCCCGCTGCTGCTGCTGCTGCTGCTGCGGCTGCTGCTGCTGCTGCTGCTGCTACTGCGGCTGCGGCTGCTGGTGCTGCTGCTGCGGCTGCTGCACTGCTTGCTGCTTAGGACCCTTTTATATCTGGGGATGAAGCACCTGCGGGTGTTGAGCTGGATTGCTGCTGCTGCTGCTGCTGCTGCTGGCGTCCGTGCTGCTCGCGCTGCTGCTGCTGCTGCTGCTTCTCCAGTATTTGCTGCTGGCCTCGTTGCTGTCGTTGCTCCTGCGGCCCATGCTGAACCTGCCCACCACTGTCCTCCTATGAGAGTTTGCAGCTGCGGCTGCTGCTGCTTCCTAGCTGCTGCTGCTGCTGCTGCAGTGGTTACCCGCTGCAGTTGCTGCAGCTGCCGGTGTCGTTACCGCAGCAGCAGCTGCTGCTGTCACCGGAGCCCCGAATTCCACTGTTCCTGCTGCTGCTGCTGCCGTTCTGACTGCAAAAGTTGCTGACGCAGCTGCTGCTGCTCCTGCTGCTGCTGCTGCTGCTGCAGCCCTCGGCCCTGCTGCTGCTCCTGAAGTAAAGACAACGCTGAATTCGCAAAGACACGGAAGAGCTTCAGCAGGGCTGCGGCGTTGCTGTTCTGCAGCAACAAAATTGAAGCTGCTGCTGCTGCTGCTGCTGCGCAGGCTTTACACGTTGGCAGTGTTGGCTGCATGCAGCAGCATCAGCGGGAACGGGAGCAGCAAATTGAGGTGCGCCCATTCCTTAAGATGCTGCTGCTGTTCGTTAATTTTGAAATGAATTTGCATCCCTCGGTTTGCTGCAGCAACACAAACAGCCGAAGTGCAGCAGTCGCAGCAGCAGCAGCAGCAGCAGCAGCAGTAGCAGCAGCAGCAGCAGCCGAGCTCTTCAGGCCTTAAGGCCAGGTGCTGCGGCTCCAGCAGCAACGGCAACAGCGCGGAAAGTTTGCGACAGACACTGCTCTCTGTTTATCTGTTTGCTTTTGCGATTTAGAGTTTAGGGTCTAGGGTTTAGGGTTTAGCGCTTAGGGTTTAGGGTTTAGGGTTTGGAGGTTTGGACAGTGTGCGGAGGGCGAGTGACCTTGTCGGGGCCGCTGCCAACACAGCAGCAGCAGCAGCAGCCAGAACAGGAGCGTCAGCAGCGCAAGCAGCAGCATCAGTAGCAACTGAAGCAACAGCAGCTCAAGCAGCAGCAGCAGCAGCAGCAGCAGCAGCAGCACCGGAAGCAGCAGCGACAGCAGTTTCCGGAGGCAGCAGCTACGGGCACTCTCTAGCAACTTGCACACACCTCAGCAACAGTGACTGCAGCAGCAGCAGCAGCAACAAAAGCAGCAAGAGCAGGTCCTTAAGGGCGCAACTAGACCGACAGCAGCAGCAGCAGCAGCAGCAGCAGCATCACCAGCAGCAGCAGCAACAGCAGCAGCAACAGCAGCAGCAACAATGGAGAGCCCAATTTCCCCTCTTAAGAACAGCCCCGTGAGGTTTGTCGCTCCAGGTGCAGCAACAAACCCAACAGCAGCAGCAGCAGCAGCAGCAGCACCAGCCGCAGCAGCAATGGGGAAGGTGCAGAAGAAGAGCAGCAGCAGCAGCAGCAGCAGTCCGCCGCAGGACTCGGCTTCTGCTGCGCACATTTTTGAAGCCGCAGCAGATCGTCTGCAGCAGCAGCACCAGCAGCAGCAGCAGCAGCAGCAGCAGCAGCAGCAAAAGGGAAAACATGCTGCTGCTCTCTCCCGCCTGGATGAAACCATGGCATCTCGCCGCAGCGCAGCAGCAGCAGCAGTGGCGCCGGCGGCCCCCACAGCAGCAGCAGCAGCAGCAGGAAAGGTGCAGCAGGCGGAACAGCTGCTGCAACAGCAGCAGCTGTTGCAGCAACAGCAGCAGCAGCAGCAGCAGCAGGCACAAGTTGTCCTGAAGCTGCAGCAGGTAAGGTGCTGCTGCTCTTGCTGCTGCTACAGCGAACTTCTGTTGCTGCTGCTGCTGCAGTTGTTGCTGCTGCACTGAACTTCCTTTGCTGCTGCTGCTGCAGCTGTTGCAGCTACTCAGGTGCTGCTGTGCTCCAGTACATGAGTTGCTCGTTGCTGCTGCGGCTGCTTCCTCTTGTTGCTGCGCAGCATGTAGCTGCTGCTGCTGTAGCTGCTGCTGCTTTCGCTGCGGCTGCTGCTGCTGCTGCTGCTGCAGAAGTTGCATGCCTCTATAGTGTGCGTGTGACGCTGCAGCAAGTAAGGGACCTGCAGCAGCAACTGCAGCAGCAGCAACGCGCTAAGCAGGGTCAGAAGCAGCAGCAGGAGGTAGGACTCAGCAGCATTTGCTGCCAAGCGTAGCTACTGCGTGTGCTGCTGCAGCAGCTGCTGCTGCTGCTGCTGCTGCTGCGGAAGCTTGCTGCGCTCATGCGATGGCAGTTTGTCTGCTGCTGCTGCTTTGCTGCTGCTGCTGCAGAGCTCTTCTGGTTGGCAGAAGGAAGCGCAGCGGCTGCCGCAGCTGCAGCAGCAGCACGAGGAGCTGCTGCAGCAGCACCAGCAGCTGCAGCAGCAGCATTCAGCAATGGCGTGAGCTACTGTTGTAGTTGCTGCTGCTTCTGGCTGCGAGTCTTCAATCCCCGCCACACTGGCTTAGCTGTTCACGAGTGTTGCTGCTGCTGCTGCTGCTGCTGCTGCTGCAGCGATGCGCTGCAGGCAGCCATTGGCAAGTACAAGAGTTTGAAGGAGGAGCAGCAGCAGCAGCAGAATGAGCAGCAGCAGCAGCAGCACCTGCTGCGGACAGCACAGGAGAAGCTTCGCCATGTGGGTCTTTCTTATCGGCGCTGTGGCTGCAGAATAATTGGTTGCTGCTGCTGCAGCTCTTGCTGCTGCTGCAGCACTTGCTGCTGCTGCAGCACTTGCTGCTGCGGCTGCTGCTGCTTAGCTGATGTGCAGTGCTCTGATCTGCTACCTTTGCTGCTTCGCTGCGCAGGAGATGGAGCAGCGCGAGGCATCTGCTGCTGCTGCTGCTGCTGCTGCACAGGAAGAACGTCGTGTGCTTCAGCAGCAGCTGGAAGAGCAACAGCAGCAGCTGCAGCAGCGACAGCAGCAGCTGCAGCAGCGACAGCAGCAGCTGGAAGAGCAACAGCAGCAGCTGCAGCAGCGACAGCAGGAGCTGGAGCAGCAAAAGCAGCAGCTGCAGCAGTTTGAAAAGCAGGAGCAGCAGCTGCAGCTGCAGCTGCAGCAGTATGAAAAGCAGCAAGATGAGATGAGCGAGCTCAAGCGGCAGCTGCAGCAGCAGCAGCAGCAGCAGGTGGACGAGAGGCAGCAGAGCCAGGAGCAGCAGCAGAAACAGCAGGCTGAGGTGAACAATCTGAAGCAGCAGCTGCAGCAGCTGCAGCAGCTGCAAGAGCAGCAGAAGGAGGAGCTATCTGGTCTCAAAGAGCAAATGCACCAGCAGCAGCAGCAACTGCAGCAGAAGCAGCAATTACTGGAGCAGCAGCAGCAGCAACTGCAGCAGAAGCAGCAATTACTGGAGCAGCAGCAGCAGCAACTGCAGCAGAGCGAGCTGCTACTGGGGCAGCAGCAGCAGCAACTGCAGCAGACGGAGCAGCTACTGGAGCAGCAGCAGCAGCAGCTGCAGCAGAAGGGGCAGCTAGTGGAGCAGCAGCAGCAGCAACTGCAGCAGAAGGGGCAGCTACTGGAGCAGCAGCAGCAGCAACTGCAGCAGAATGAGCAGCTACTGGAGCAGCAGCAGCAGCGGTTGCAACAACAAGAGCAGCAGCTTCAGCAGCGGCAACAGTATCAGGAGCAGCAGCAAGATGAGATTGCTGACCTGAAGCAGAAGCTGCTGGAGCAACAGCAGCAGATGCTGCAGAAGGAGCAGCAGCTGCAGCACGAGCAGCAGCAGCAGCAGCAGCAACAGGTTGAACTAGACGACCTGAAGCAGCAGCTGGAACAGCAGCAGCAGCAGCAGCAGCACCTGGAGCAGCAGGGGCTGCAGAAGGAGCAGCAGCTGCAGCAAGAGCTGCAGCAGAAACAACAACAGCAAGATGAGATTGATGACCTGAAGAAACAGCTGCAGCAACAGCAGCAGCAGCTGCTGCGGGAGCAGCAGCAGCTGCTGGAAAAGGAGCAGCGGCTAGAGCAGCTACAGCAGCAGCAAGAGCTGCAGCAAGGCGAAATAGCTGATCTGAAGCAGCAGCTGCAGCAACAGCAGCAGCTGCTGCTGCGGGAACAGCAGCAGCTGCTGGTAAAGGAACAGCAGCTAGAGGAGCAGCAGCAGCAGCAAGTGTTGCAGCAGGACGAAATAGTTGATCTGAAGGAGCAGCTGCAGCAACAGCAGCAGCTGCTGGTGCAGAGGGAAGATGAGCTGCAGCAGCAAAAGCAGCTAAAACTCCAGCAGCAAGATGAAATAAGTGACCTAAAGCAGCAGCTGCAGGAGCAACAGCAGCAGCAAAGGGAACAGCAGCAGCAGCAGGACAATGAAATGTGCTGCCTGAAGCAGAAGCTGCAGCAGCAACAACAGGAGCAACAGCAGCAGCAAGGCGAGCTCAGTGACCTTCAGAAGCAGCTACAGCAGCAGCAACAGGAGATGCAGCAGAAGGAGGAGCAGGTGCAGCAGCAACAGCAGCAGCTGCAGCAGCAACAGGAGCAGCTGCTGCAACAGCAGCAGCGGCAGGACGAAATAAATGACCTTCAGCAGCAGCTGAAGCAAGAACAGCAGCAGCTGCAGCAGAAGGAGCAGCAGCTAGAGCAGCAGCAACAGCAGCTGCAGGGGGAACGGGAGCAACTGCAGCAGCAAGAGCAGCAGTTGCAGCAGCAGCAGCAGCAGCTTCAACAGCAACAGCAGCAGGTACAACAGGAGCAACAGCAGCTGGAGCAGCAGCAGCAGCAGCTAGAGCAGCAACAGCTGCAGCTCCAACAGAAAGAGCAGCAGCTGCAGCTGCAACAGCAGCAGCAAGAAAATGCAGATGCTCTCAAGCTGCAGCTGGACGAGGTATGTTGCTGCAGTACTGCTGCTGCTGCAGCGTCGCTGTTGCTGCTCCCTCCGACTTGCTGGTGCTGCTGTTATTCTTTGCTGCTGCTGTTGCATTCTTTGCTGCTGCTGTTGCATTCTTTGCTGCTGCTGTTGCATTCTTTGCTGCTGCCTGCAGCGGTCGCGGGAGCTCGTGCTGCAGCAGGAGGAGCTAAAAAGGAGCAGCAGCGAGTCTGCAGCACAGGCAGCAGCAGCAGCAGCATCGCAGCAGCAAGTTGCTGCTCTTGAGGGCGAACTGAGGTGAGCTGCTGCTCTCGCCGCTGCTGCTGCTGCAGCTACTGCAGCACTGCAGCAGCCTTTGCTGCAGCTGGCACAGGAACAGCAGCAGCAGCAGATAAGACATGGCATGCTCTGCTGCTCCGTCTGTTTACTCTTTGCAGGGAGGCCCGTGCTGCTGCTGCTGCTGCAGGCGAAGCGCTGGAGCAGCTGCAGCAAAAGCACCAGCAGCAGGAGCAGCAGCTAGAGGAGGCGCTGAAGGAGCAGCAAGAGCAGCAGCAGTCCCACAAGAAGCTGGTACGTAATGCTGCAGCAACAGCAACAGCAGCACCTGCAGCAGCGGCTGCAGCAGCAACAGCAGCACCTGCAGCAGCGGCTGCAGCAGCAACAGCAGCACTTGCAGCAGCGGCTGCAGCAGCAACAGCAGCACCTGCAGCAGCGGCTGCAGCAGCAACAGCAGCCGCACGAACAGTACTTAGCTCTGCGTGTCTCCATTTGCTGTATTTAGGAGCACGAGATGCTGCAGCTACAGCAGCGATACGAGCAGCAGCAAGAGCAGCAGCAGCAGCTGCAGCAGCAGCAAACTGCACTAGAGGAGGCCCGGCGAGCAGAGGCCTCTTGGCGCTCGCAGGCAGCAGCATATGAGCAGCAAGTTGATGCTGTCAAACGAGAGCTGCATCTGCTGCAGCAGCAACTGCAGCAGCAGCAGCAGGAGCAGCAGAAGCAGCAGCAGCAGCAGAAGCAGGCTGCACCAGAGAGTGAGTATCTTGCTGAGCTGGCAGCAGCAGCAGCAGCAGCACCAGGTACACAGAGCTACAGCAGGAGAAAAGTTGCACTTCTTGTGCTGTTGCTGCTGCTGTTGCTGCTGCTGTTGTTGCTGTTGCTGCTGCTGCAGGAGATGGCGTTCGCAGTAGAAAGGCCACAAGACCAGCAGCAGCAGCAGCAGCAGCAGCTGAAGCAGCACCCAGCAGCAGCAGGCTCGTCAGCCGCGTTGATAATCCCCTTAGGTAACCCCTAGCTGCTTTTTCTGCTGCTGCTGCTCCCCCTGCTTTTGCTGCTGCTGCTGCTTTTGCTGCTGCAGCTTTTGCTGCTGCTGCTCTTGCTGCTACTGCCGTTGCTGCTGCTAACTGCTCGCTTCCCGCAAAAGTTGCATTCGGGCTTCTTCTCCTGGCGGTCTTCTCCATGTAATTGCGTTGCTGCTGCTGCTGCTGCTGCTGCTGCTGCAGATCTGCGCTGCACCTGCTGCTAGACAATGGCATGGCCCGCGTGGCTGCTGCTGCTTACTTTTTGCTGCTGAACGTTCTTGTGTTGCTGCTGCTCCGGAGGGCCGCCTGCTGAGGCCCGTCAGAAGCAGCAGCAGCAACAGCAGCAGCAGCAACAGCAGCAGCAGCAGCAGGAACAGAAGCTGAAAGAGAAGAGGGGCATTAGTCTGCTGAGCTGCAGCAGCAGCTGAAGGTGCAGCTTTGCTGCAGCAGCCGTTATATACAGTTGGGCTTCGTGTGCTGGTGGCTGCAGCAGCAGCAGCAGCAGCAGCTGCTGCTGCTGCACTTATACAGTTTGACTTTGAGCAGCAGCTGCTGCAGCACTTATACAGTTTGACTTTGAGTACTGGCTGCTGGTGCTGCTGCTGCAGCAGCAAACGAATTGCTGCTGCTGCTGCAGCAGCAATTCGTTTGCTGCTTTTTGAAAGCATCTTCTTTGACTGCCCCTAAGAATTTCTTGACTTTAAAATGAGGGTTTAGGGTTTGGAGTTTAGGGTTTAGGGTTTAGGGTTTAGAAGCTGCTTTATGTGAGCTGGCTGACTGATAGTCAAACCTAATCCCATGACCCTAAACCCTTTCCACACTGGCTAAACCCTAAGCCCTCGCAAAACCCTAATCCATGGGTAAACCCTAGACCCTAGCTAAACCCTAAACCCTAGATAGAGCTTAACACTTCTTTAAAGATTAATTAGCTTTTTAGGCAGCTCTTTTGAAAACCCTACGAGGGACCACTGCGTTTATTCCGTGGTTTGTTGCTGCTGGTTGCTGCTGCTTTAGCTGCCTTTGCTGCTGTATTTTGTCGCTGCTGCAGCTCGTTGCTGCTGCTGCTGCTGCTGCTGCTGCTGCTGCTTGCTGGTGCTGTTGCTGCTGCTGCCAGCTGTTTGTCGGTGCAGCATTGAAAGGCGACTGCTGTTAATTGCTGGCAGCAGCAGCAGCGCCCAACTCTCCAGAAAGGGCCCAGAGTCCAGGGTTTAGGGTTTAGGGTTTAGGGTTTAGGGTTTGATGAGGCAGAGTCATCAGAGGTTTGGCGGATTAGGGTTTAGGGTTTAGGGTTTTCGAACGTTTCGCAGTGCAGCGCGCAGCAGCAGCAGAAGACAGCAGCAAAAGCAGTGAACTTGGGCCCAACCAGCAGCAAACTGAATGCAATTACAGTAAATGAATAAAAAAAAGAAAATAAAATAAATAATATAAAAAAAAATAAACTTTTAAATTCGAATTAAATTGAAAAAGAGCCACCAATGGGAATCGAACCCACGACCTTCGGTTTACAAGACCGATGCTCTACCACTAAGCTATGATGGCGTCGGCAGCAGCTGCTGCTGCTGCTCGACTTTCGAAACTTTTCCGTTTTTCTTCATTTTTCTTTCTTTTTCTTTCTTTTTCTTTCTTTTTTCGCTTTTTAATTCTCATTTTTATATTTAATTTATTTTAATTCAAATTTAATTTCCCAATTTCTCCAATTCGCCGCTTTTTGCGCTCTTTGGCTCCGTCGGAAGATCTTTAATGTCCTGCCAAGTGCCCCGGCCACCTTGCCTTTTTGTTCTTTTTTCCTTTCACTTTTTATTTTATTTTTATTTTATTTTATTCGTTTTTGTTTATTATATCTTTTTAATTTTGGTTTCATTTATTTCTTTTCCAAAAAACTTACTTAGCGACAGTTGCGCGCCTTCTTGAAGGCTTGAAGTTATTTATTTATTTATCTTTTCGTCTTTTGTTTTTAACTCTTCTAGTTCTCGGACTTCTCTCATATTCTTCTCCAATTAATTTCATCTTTACTTTATTTCTGTTTTTGTTTCAGTCCTTTTAATTCTTCTTTTCTTTCTTTCCTCTTTTTGAAGTATTCAGATCTTTATTTGCTTCTGCTGCTGCTCTTTGGCTTCCTCAGTTGCTGCAGCAGCAGCATCTGTTCTGCTTCAGCGTATCACCACTATACATATATATATATAGATGTATATTTATACATATATATGCATATATACATATATTTGCATATGTATATATAAATATCTATATATAGATATATATGTGTATATATATACATATATATATATATATATATATATATAAATATACACACATGTGCATATGTATATATATATATACACATATATATATATATATATATATATATATATACATATATATATATATATATATTTATATATATGCATATATGTACGGTATTTATAAAACAAAGCTTTATTGCCTTTATTATTAAAAAAGCAAATTTGTTTGGCAAACAAATTCTCGCAAATGCACTGCAGCAAGTTGCTGAGGTGTACAGACAGCTCGCGCCGGCGAGGAGCGAACGGCGGTCATCCGGAAGAAGAAATAAATGCAATTTAAAGAACATTTGGAACATTTGGACCATTTTTAGAATACTTTTAGAATATTTTTAGAATATTTTTGAAATAATTTGGAGTTTTAAGGCGTCTTTTGCTGCTGCTCGCGCAAACTTTTCTTTTTCTGTCAAAACGCATGCAGCCGAGTTGCCTGAGGTGTACGTACACCCCGCAGCCAGAGCCTGCACAACTGCAGCAGCAGCAGCAACAGCCGCAGCAGCAGCAGCAGCAGCAGCAAATTTGCTGGGGCTCTGCAGCAGATACTTATACCTGCGTCTTTGTAAGTTTGTTTAAGGCATTTGCATGCATGCGAATATTTGAAATTGGGAGGAAAGGGGAAGCAAATAGAAAGTGAAGCACAAACTATTAATTAACCAATTAACTAATTAGTTAATTAATTAATTAATTAACTAATTAATTAATTAATTACCTAATTAATTAATTAACTCTGTATCTATATATATATATATATATGTATATATATATATATATTTGCACGAATTGGTCGTGCTAAATTTGCTTTTCCGGGAAAATGAATTTATTTATTTCCTTTTGAAACTCTAAAGATTTATATTCGGCCACTTTGGCTGCATACAGCAGCAGCACTGCTGCTGCTGCTGCTGCTGCAGCAAATGCTGCAATTTCTGCTGCGCGAGTGCCTGCTGCCTTCCTTCGCGGCTGCAGCAACATGGAGCCGCCTGCACCGCAACAGCAGCAAATGCTGCAAGAGCTGCAGCAGCGGCAGCAGCAGCTGCTGCTGCTGCAGCTGCTGCTGCGGCGGCTGCTGCTGCTGCTGCAGCTGCTGCTGCAGCTGCTGCTGCTGCTGCTGCTGCTGCTGCAGCTGCTGCTGCTGCTGCTGCTGCTGCTGCAGCTGCTGCTGCTGCTGCTGCAGCTGCTGCTGCAGCTGCTGCTGCCCCCTTCATCGCAGCTAATACTACTGGACAAGAATATCCAACGAAACAAATAAATGCAAATGCTGGTCGCCTTTGGCTGTGCATAGACTTCAGCTGCTGAGGCCTATGCTGTAACAGCTGCAGCAGCAACAACTGCAGCAGCTGCTGCTGCAGGTGAGGCAGAAGATGCAGCTTCTGCTTCAGTGCGCTGCACTTGCTGCTGCTGCTTCTGCCAGTGCAGCGTTTGCTGCATCACCTGCCGCAACTGCGCTGTTGCTGCAGTGGTTGCTTCTACGGCTGCTGTCATCGGTGCTGCTACTGCTGCTGCTGCTGCTGCTGCTGCTGCTGCTGCTGCTAGCCTGCATTGGACATTAATCGCCTCCGCTTCGCGTCTGTCGTTTCAGCCGAAAGCGGAGACTCGGGGGCAGCTGTGTCTGCTGCTGCTGCTGCTGCTGCTGCTGCTGCTGGAGTTGGCTGCAACCCCACAGGCGTGGCCGCCCCGTCGACGGCGCTGCTGCTGCTGAACTCTTCCGCTGCAGCAGGAGAAGCAGCAGCAACTGCTGCTGCTGGCGTTGATGCCGGCGTCGTTGCCGGCGTTGTTGCTGCTGGTGTTGTTGCTGTTGCTGCTGGTGTTGCTGCTGCAGCTCCAGGGGACGGCTGCTTTGCTGCTGGCATATCCAGGCGGCGGCGCCCACGAGAAAACCGCTCCCCCTGCAGCAGCAGCAGCAGCAGCAGCAGCAGCAGCACAGCGCCGCGTAAAAGAAAAAAGTAGCAGCAGTAGGGTTAGCAGCAGCAGCAGCAGCACTGACACAAACAGCGGCAGCAGCAGCCGCAGCAGCAGCAGCGTCAGGCAGCAACAGCAGCAGCATCCCGAAGAGTGACAGCAGCAGCAGCAGCAGCAGACCCACCAGTCACGGCAGGAGCCGCACCAGCAGCAACAGCAGCAGCAGCAACAGCAGCAGCAACAGCATCAGCAGCAGCAACAGCAGCAACAGCAACAGCAGCAACAGCTGCAGCAGCAGCAGCAGCATCAACAGCAGCAACAACAGCAGCAGCAACAGCAACAGCAGCAACTGCAGCAGCAGCAACAGCAGCAGCAGCAGCAGCAGCACTTCTTCTTTCTTGAGCTGGCGAATGATGGCCTCGGCTCTCCTGCCCAAGTCTGCTGCTGCTCTCGACCTGAAGAACCAATCCCGTCTCCAGGTCGTGTCTCTCAGAACCTGAAGAATTGAAGACAGAATTAAATTAATTAAATCAATTTAAACAATTAAGTAATTAAAATAAACAAATAATTAAATAAATAATTAAAATAATTAATTAGCTGCTCAGGGGAGCAGCGAGATAACTGCGCTTGCTCTCATGCTTCTGTAGGCTGAGACAGCAGCAGCAGCAGCAGTGACAGCAGCAGCAGCAGCAGTGACAGCAGCAGCAGCAGCAGCAGATGCGACAGCAGCAGCAGCAGAAGGTGCGGCAGCAGCATCGCCATGGGCATCAGCAGCAGCGGTAGGAGCAGCAGCAGCAGCAGCAGCAGCAGCAGCAGCAGCAGCAGCAGTTTTCTGCCCACTTGGCTTCGAAGCTTCTCCCAATTGCCATATCCTGGAACACAGTGGAACAAACCTATTTATTTATTTATTTATTTATTTTTTTGTTTATTTATTTATTATTTAACTATTTAATTATTTAATTAATTAATGAAAGTTTGGATAATAAATATTATTTAATTTGTTTAATTGTTTATTTACTCCGCAAATGTCAAGGACTGCAATGGCGACGCATAAAGCAAAAGTGTGAACAGCAGCACCAAGAGCAGCAGCAGCAGCAGCAGCAGCAGCAGCAGCAGCAAGATCAGCAGAAGCGCCTGTAGTTTAGCAGTAAGCAACTCCGCCGCAAAAATGCAGAACCAGAAGCAGCAGCAGCAGCACAACCACTGCCTCTTGCAACAGTAGCAGCAACAGCAACAGCAGCAACAGCAGCAGCAGCAACAGCAGCAGCAGCAGCAGCAGCAGCAGAGGTTATACCTAGCAGCGTGGTGAGGTTAAGAACAAAGACATCCTCTTCTTCTGTAAAGAAGGATTTAGCTTTTGTTGCAGCAGCAAAATTGATCGGCAGGCGCCGCCAAGGGAAGTCGCTTTGCTGCTGCCGCCGCACAATAACCTACAGCAGCAGCAGCAGCAGCAGCAGCAAGACAGCAGCAGCAGCAGCAGCAGCAGCAGGTCAAGGACCCGCAATCGCAGCCCTCCAACTGCAGCAGCCCCCCGGGCGCAGCGCGCACCCCCCGAACCAGAAACTCAAACAAAACAACAAACAAACAAACAAACAAACTAATTAATTAATTAATAATAATTAATTAATTAATTAATTAATTAATTAATTAATTAATTAATTGAGTGCAGCAGCACCTGCTCGAGCTCCTTGCGGCGCTGCAGCACGGCCTCGCCGTCTTGAATGCGCTTCAGCAGTTTGCTGCTGTCGCTGATTTCGCCCAAGCGGCTCCAAAAGGCAGCAGCATAAAGCCGCACAGCAGCTTCGCTTTTTCCCTCCACTTCCGTGGCAATTCGACTCAAGTCTTCTCTCCCGTACATCTCGTTTCCTCTGCAGCAGCAGCAGCAGCAGCAGCAGCAGCAGCGGCAGCAGCAGCAGCAGCAGCAGCGGCGGCAGCGGCGTCTTCAGCAGCGCCGAAGCAGCACCCCGGCGTCCCCCGCGGCGCAGCGCGCGCCCCCCGCACCGCAGCAGCAGCAGCCGCAGCAGCAGCAGCAGCAGCAGCAGCAGCAGCAGCAGCAGCAGCTCGCCTGACGAAAGCCATCAAGTCCTTCCTGGACCAGTCCTTGAAACCCTGCTCAATTAGCTGCTGCTTCTCCTGCCTTTCTGCTGCTGTGGGGGCCCTCGCCTGGCCCAGCGAGCGCCGCCAGGCCAAGTCCAGCGCATGCAGCTCCAGGATTCTTTCTCTGTTGTAAAACTGCCACTCCTGCAGCCCCAAACCCTCGCCAAACCCTTTTTTAGGGTTTCCCATTCGCACAAACCCTCGCCCTTCAAAACCCTCGCCAAACCCTTTTTTAGGGTTTCCCAACCACCAACTGCTGCGCCTTTGCTTTCCGGTGCGTCAAAACAATTCCGCCCTATGCCTCCCCAAGCCCCTCAACTGCCAAACCCTAAACCCTAAACCCTAAACCCTAAACCCTAGACCCTAGCGAACCCTAATCAGCTCTAATAAACCCTAATAACTTCTGATAAGCGCCAATAAGCCCTAACGAAACTACGAGAAGCTTTATTAAACCCCAAAGAACCCTAGCAAATCCTAATAAACCCTAATAAACCCTAAAAACGCCAACAAACCCTAATAAACCCTCGTAAACCCTAGTAAGCCCTCGTAAACCCTAGGAAGCCCTCGCAAACCCTGCAAAACCCTAGCGAGCTTAGCGGACCTGCATGACAGGGAGTTTGGGAACTCGGGGGATGTGCGGCGGCTTTCGGGGGTCCTTGGCGGTTTGCTGCTGCTGCTGCTGCTGCTGCTGCTGCTGCTCGGGGCCCTCTCTGTAGCTGCTTCTGTGGCGCCGGCGAGTCTCTCTTTCTGTGGACATTTGCTCCTTGGCCAGCTGCAGCCAAGCCTCTCTATCTGCTGCTTTTCTTTCTTCAGGATAACACAAGTCCACGGCGTCGTACAAGTTGCTGCTGCTGCTGCTGCTGCTGCTGAAGTCCAGCAGCGACCGCCGCACCTGCTGCTGCAGCATCGCCTCCATCTGCTCCGTCCGCTCCTGGCCCCTGCAAGCACAGCACCAGCACCAGCAGCAGCAGCAGCAGCAGCAGCAGCAGCAGCAGCAGCAGCGGCAGTGAGCAGCAGCAGCAAACGCAGCGCCAGCAGCAGCGCACGGCACTCCCAAGAGCAGCAGGGGTGGTGGGGAAGGAGCAGCGAAAGCATTTTTTGCATTTTTTTGAATTTTTTTGATTTTTTTTAATTTTTTTTTAATTTTTAAATTCTTTTTTAATTCTTTTGAATTGTTTTAACTTTTTAAGTCTTCTGCGCCGCTAAAGGGCAGCTGGAGGCCTCAGAAGGCGCACCTCGCGAGGATGGCGTCGAGTTCTTCTTCAGTCAAGTCCGCGTTCTTCGAAGACTTGAAAATGTGCTCCGCCCCAAAAGACACCATCGACAGCAGCGCCCCCTGCGAGAAGTCTTCCCCCCGGCCTTCGACCAGCCGCCCCTGCTGGATCACCGCAGTGTCTGCAGCAGCGCAGCAGCAGCAGCGCAGCAGCAGCAGCAAAGCAGCAGCAAAGCAGCAGCAGCAGCAAAGCAGCAGCAGCAAAGCAGCAGCAGCAGCGCAGCAGCAAAGCGCGCGCGAAGCCCCGGCTTTTCAAACACTTTGGCGGTTTTGCGGGTTTTGGGGGTTTGAGAGGGTTTTGAGGGGGTTTGAGAGGGCTTTGAGGGGGTTTGAGAGGGTTTTGAGGGGGTTTGAGAGGGTTTTGACGGGGGTTTTGAGAGGGTGTTGAGGGGTTTAGAGGGTTTTGACGAGGGTTTTTGAGAGGGTTTTGAGGGGAGTTTGAGGGGGTTTAGAGGGGGAGTTGAGGGGGGTTTAGAGGGGGAGTTGAGGGGGGTTTTGAGAGGGTTTAGAGAGGGTTTTGAGAGGGTTTTGAGAGGGTTTTGAGAGGGTTTTGAGAGGGTTTTGAGAGGGTTTTGAGAGGGTTTTGAAAGGGTTTAAATACTGAAAAGTATATGAAGAGAATTAAAGAACTTTAAAATGTTTATTTTGCTCAAGGGAACAAAAGGAAAGTTGATGAGAGTAAAAAGGACTTTGAATAATAAAAGAGCATTTAAAGAGAACAAAAGGATATTTGAATCTCTTATTTAAAATAAATGAATATTATTTTTAGAAATATTTAAAGAGAATAAAAAAGTATTTTGAGATGACAGAAAGGTATTTAGAAGTAGGAGATGGTGTTTGGAAATTAAGAGTGATTTTCCGTGAAAAGAAGAATTAATTTTGAACAAAAAGATATTTAAATGAAAAAAGGAATTAGTTGCAAATCAAAAAGATGTTTAAGTGAAATAAAGAATTAACATTAAATTAAAGTTGTTTAAATTGAAGAAGGAATTAATTTTAAATGAAAAGATACTCAAAAGCCATACAGAAGTAAAAATCCAAAAAAGAATTTAAAAAAGAATTTGAGAAAGGACTTAAAAAAGAATTTAAAGAAGAATTTAAAACAGGAATTAAAAGGCAGAATTTAAAAAGACAGAATTTAAGAAAGAATTTAAGAAAGAATATAAGAAAGAATTTAAGAAAGAATTTAAGAATTTAAAAAAGAATTATAAAAAGAATTTTAAAAAGAATTATAAAAAGAATTTTAAAAAGAATTTTAAAAAGAATTTTAAAAAGAATTTTAAAAAGAATTTAAAAAGAGAATTAAAATCTCACCGAGCTGCAGCTTCAAATTGGCTCTTTCCAAAATCTTTTCTTCAATTGTATGTTCGTGAATTAATCGGTAAACATTTACTGCTTTTGTTTGGCCTGAGCAGCAAAAAAACAAATGCTGCTGCTGCTGCTGCTTCTGCTGCTGCTGATGCGAGTCCTGCTGCTGCTGCTGCTGCTGCTGATGCGAGTCCTGCTGCTGCTCCTGCTGCTGCTCATCCTCCTGCTGCGCCGGCACCTACTGCTGCTGCTGCTTCTCCTGCTGCTCCTAAACCTTTTCTGCTGCCTACTGCGTGCTGCTGCTGCTTCTAATGCTGCTGCTGATGCTTCTAATGCTGCTGCTGCTGCTTCTAATGCTGCTGCTGCTGCTTCTAACGCTGCTGCTGCTGCTTCTAATGCCGCTACTGCTGCTTCTAACGCTGCTGCTGCCGGAGCCGTTCCCCTCCGCCTCCCCCCCCCTGCTGCAGCCCCCACTGCCCCTACCCCTGCCCCTACACTACCCCCGCAGCAGCACGAGCTGCCGCTGCCGCTCCTGCTGCTGCTGCTGCTGCTGCTGCTGCTGCTGCTGTACCTATGCGGTGGGCCCTGTCCATGGCCTGGAGGTCTGCCTGGGGGTTCCAGTCGGAGTCGAAAAGAATGACAGTGTCTGCTGCTGCTAAGTTGGTGCCGACTCCGCCGGCCCTGGTGGAGAGGAGGAAGATGCTGACGGGTTTGCTGCAGCTGCTGCTGCTGCTGCTGCTGCTGTTGAAGAGCTGCAGCTGCTGCTCCCGCTGCTGCGCACTCGTCTGGCCGTCCAGCCGGCAGTAACTGAAGCCCCGCATGCAACAATAGTCCTCCAAAATGTCCATCATTCTCGTCATTTGGCAAAACAAAAGACATCTGCTGCCTCCTTTGATGAGTCGCTGCAGCAGTTTGTCGCAGAAGCGCAGCTTGCCGCTGTTCACCACCAGGTGTTCGCCGAACGGCTCTCCGTCCGCCGGTTCGTATCCTGAAAACGCCAAAACTCTCCAAATTCTTTCCTTTTTTCGCCATTTTCTTCTTTTATTTCCTTTTATTTCTCTTTACTTCTCTCTACTTCTTTTTATTTCGCCTTTTTCCCTTTTTTCCGTCTTTTCCCGCTCTTTTCCCGCGCTTTCCGCGCTTTTTTCCTCTTTTTCGCCCCCGCCACCGCAGCGCCTCTTCTTCTTTTTCCCTCTTTCTTTTTCTTTTTTTCACATTTGGCATTTAATTAAAGTTTTCAACTTGTGAATTACTAAGTCTTAAACTCAACAATTGTCTTTTACCTTCTTTTATTGGCTATTAGATGAGATTTGCACTTTTTGGAATTTCGTATTTCCTTGTTTTAGCGGCGAGTTGGCCGCCAAAAGGATCTTTTTAATGAATTTTTTGCCGAACTTTTCGGCGAATTCGCAGAGAATTCGGGGGGAAACCCAAAAAGGATTTAAATGGATTTAAATGGATTTGAAAGGATTTAAAAGGATTTAAATGGATTGAAATGGTGCATTTAAATGGCTTTAATTCTTGGGGGAGGCGGGCTGGTGAAGGGCGGGAAAGTGCGGCGAAGACGGCGCGCGGGCCGGCGAAAAGCGGGATTTTGGGGGAAACTTTGATATTTTTTTCCCGTTTAAAAAGCCTTGGGACTTATTTTTGTTTTTCTAACAGAATAGAAGGTTATTTCGGGGAAAAAAGGAACTTTTGGCGGCCGAAATCCGCAGTTTTGACCCACCGTCGAACAGGTACGGGTGGTTGCAGGCCTTCCGGAGCTGCACGGCCAAATTGCGCAGCTTGCTGCGGCCGCCTTCGCCCTGCAGGGCTGTCACGTTTTTGCTCAGGAGGTCTTTGTAAAGTTGTCTTTGCATGTCTGAAAAGTCCAAAAACTGGCGACTTTCGCGCGTTTTACCTCCAAAATATCCTCTTTTTCAATTCAGAATCTTTTATTTCATTCAAAAATCAAAAAAAACGAAAAAATTCCGACAAAATCGCAAAAAAAGACGCAAAATTGAACTCCGCAGCACGCGGCTCACAGGAGAAAAAAGAAAGAAGTTAAAGGTAAAGTGAAGTTGAAACAAAAAGACATTGAAATAAAAAGAAATTATAATTAAAGGAAATTAAAATAAAATAAAATAAAAAGAAATTAAATAAATGCAATTTACTAATTTGAAAATGTAAAAAGAAATGGGGAAGTTTAAATACCAAAAAAGAAACGAAATAAAAGAATTCAAAAATTCTGAAAAGTAATAATGATACAAAATTTATTGAAAAAGAGCAAATGTAATAAATAATAGTAATAAAATAAATAGTTAGAACGCAATAAATAATGGGAAACAAATAAATAACTATTTTATTTATTTTGTTTGTTTTATTTATTCCATCCACTTTATTTATTGTATCATTTTATTTACTTCTTTCACTTTATTCATTCAAGACTTATTACGTCATTTTAATTAATTCACTAACCCGTTTATTTATTCATTTATAGTTCCTCTTATTCAGTTTATTTTGTTTGATTTTTAAATTTAATTAACAAATAATTCAAGTACCTGATAAAGGCACGAAGCAAATTAATTCCTTCTTTGGAGGCATCTCCTGCAGCACATCTTTCTTCACCCGTCTGCAGCAGCAGCAGCAAAGCAGCAGCAGCAGCAGCCACGCAGCAGCAGCAGTTGTAGCACCACGGCAGCAGCAGCGGCAGCAGCAGCGGATAGGAATCCAAGTGGCTTGAGGATTCAATGCAGTCACCTGGCTGTGCTTAGCAGCAGCAACAACAGCAGCAGCATCAGGATTTGTATCATCAACTGCAGCAGCACGTGTAGCAGCAGCAGCAGCAAGTGTAGCAGCAACAGCAGCAGCACGTGTAGCAGCAGCAGCAGCAAGCGTAGCAGCAACAGCAGCAGTACGAAATAGAATGGCTGCCGCCGCTGCAGCAACGGCAGCAGGTCAAGCAGCAGCAGCAGCAGCAGCACGTCGCGGAGCCGCAGCAGCAGCACGCCGCACAGAAGCAGCGGCAGGCCACGCAGCAGCAGCAGCAGCAACAGCAGCAGCAGCAGCAACAGCAGCAGCAGCAGCAGCAGCAGCAGGAGCCTGCCTGAGCATGAAGGGCCTGAGTATCCTGTGGAGTCTTTTGACAATTTGCAAATTTCTTTCTTCTATTTGCTGCTGCGTCAGCTGCGCCCCCTCTTCATTTGTTGCAGCACTTAAATCAAAAAGAGATAAAAACTCATCTCCGTCATCAAACAGCTGCGGCAGCAGGAAGTGCAGCAGCGCCCACAGCTCCCGCAGGTTGTTCTGCCCACACGCAGCAGCAGCAGCAGCAGCAACACGGTACAAGAGCAGCAGCAGCAGCAGCAGCAGCAGTAGGACAGAGCCAGAGGCAGTTCCCTCGGTGACTGCCGCCACTCATTATTTGTTATTGTATTTTCTATTATGGACTGCTGCAGCAGCAGCTGTTGCGCTGCGCTGCTGCTGGAGAACGCCGTGCTGCTCTTTCTGCGCTTCTAAACCAGCCAACTGAAAGCTAAAATTAAATAATTATTTTAAATAATAAAATTAATAATTATTTTAAATTATTCTCAAAGCAAATATGCACTTGCAGCCAAGCTTCGCGCAGCAGAGGTGTCTAGACAGCTGAAATGAATTTCGCTGCAGCCTTGCTGCTGCTGCTGCTGCTGCTGGCTCCGAGTCTGTCGCTTTTTGCTTCCAATTAATTTAAATTGATTTAAATTAAATCCATTAAATGTAATTTCAAATATTCAAATTCAGTTAAGTCCAAATAATGCAAAAAGTAAAAACAACAAACCTGCAAAGGCGTTCCCGTCAGCAGCAGTCTGTAGTTGGAAGCAAACTGCCGCACAGTCGTTGCCAGCTTCCCTGCAGCAGCAGCAGCAGCAGCAGCAGCCACAGCAGCAGCAGCAGCAGTCAAGAGGCCAGCAACGACGGCGGCGGCAGCAGCAGCAGCAGCCGCAGCACAAGCAAGAGAGGAGAGGCGCTTGCTGCACCAAAATGCCGCAGCAGCAGCAGCGCGAGTAGCAGCAGCAGCACCAGCAGCAGCAGAAGCACCAACAGAAACAACACCAGAAGCAGAAACAGTAGCAGCAGCAACAGCAGCACCAACAGCAAAAAATAGCGCCTCAACCGGCAACAGCACCAGCAGCAGCAGCACGAGAAGACCAGCACCATCAGCAGCAGCAACAGCAGCACCAGCAGCAACAGTAACAACAGCAGCAACAGCAGCAACAGCACCGCCAGCAGCAGCAGCAGCACCAGCACTACCAACACCAGCAGCACAACCAGCAGCACCAGCACAACCAGCGCCAACAGCAGCATCAGCAGCACCAGCAGCAGCAGCAGCAGCAGCACCAGCAGCAGCAGCAGCAGCAGCAGCAGCAGCAGCAGCACCAGCAGCAGCAGCAGCAGCACCAGCAGCAGCAGACCTGCTTCGTTTTTGATTCTGTGGGCCTCGTCTATGATGATGTACTCCCAGTGTATTTGTCCTAAAATGTTTCTTTCGGCCATCAGCATTTCATAAGAAGCAACAACTACATTAATTATCTCTGGAAAGACCTCCTCCTCTGCCTGCTGCTGCTGCTGCTGCTGCTGCTGCTGCTGCTGCGGCTGGTCGGGCTGCGACTGCTGCTCGTCGTTTTCGGGTGTTTCCTGCTCTTCTGCCTGCTGCTGCTGCTGCTGCTGCTGCTGCTGCTGCTGCTGTTTGCTGCTGCAGGGTCCGTCGGACGCGGGGCTGTGCCTCTTGCTGCCTGCTGCGGACTGTTTCTGCTGCTGCTGCTGCTGCTGCTTCTTCTTTTGCTGCTGCGTGTCTTTTGTCCTTCTGCAAACTGCCAAGATGTGCTGCAGCAGCTTTTTTCTTTGCTCTTTTTCCCCCAGCACTTTCACAGCTCCCAAAGAGGGGCAAAAGCGGCGCAGCTCAGACATCCAGTTCCCTGCAGCAGCAGCAGCAGCAGCAGCAGCAGCAGCAACAGCAGCAGCAGCAGCAGCGGCAGCGGCAGCGAAAGGGATGGAGGGGCTGTGGCAGCAGCAGTGGCAGCAGAAAAGGCAGGGGTGCAGCAGCAAGAGAGGCGGCAGCCACTGCAGCAGCAGCAGCAGCAGCTGCTGCTGCTACTGCAGCAGCAGCAGCCGCCACAAAACTCGCAGCAGCAAGACAGTGGACGATAGCGCAGCAGCAAGCGCAGCAGCAGCCGCCACAAACCCTAGCCCCGAACCCCAGCTCGCAAACCCTAAACCCTAAACCCTAAGCCCTAAACCCTAAACCCTAAACCCTAAACCCCAAACCCTAACCCCAAACCCCAAACCCCAAACCCTAACCCCAAACCCTAACCCCAAACCCTAACCCCAAACCCTAACCCCAACCCCAACCCCAAACCCTAACCCACCCGGTG